CAAAGTTGCAATGAATTATAATTTTACAAGGGAGGTGTTAAAAAAAGTTTTTTTCACATGATGGATAGATAAGAATAAAACAGATAGGTTTTATTTCTAATTTGGAGTTTCTAATTCTCGTGAAAAGGTGGATGTGCAATTAAGAGCCTAAACCAATTATGATTAACCGAACGTCATTTTTTGAAACCAATTTTATTTATTTATAAATTATTAACCTGTAATAATCTATATTAATCTAAAATCATGGACTTGCATATTTTATTCGAAATAGACACACTATGTTTGTTCACTTTGCGGAAAAAGATTAGCATTCCAATTCATTTAATTTGTTAAGCATTCTGAATACGATCCAATTGTTTGAGGCGGTAATTTTGTCCAATCACAGATCTTCCTTAGCCATGACATTTGTTTCCTTACAACTCCTCTGTGGCCCTCGGTATTACCTTTCACTATAAGCTGAAGGATTTTGTATCTGTCTCCTCTAAGAGTATGCCTTAGGTATGATATGTTTCTTATCTTAAAAGTTTTAAATAATTCACATTTGCTCTAGTTAACACTGCGTTAGTCTGTATGTCTGTCCAGGGTATTCGGAGCATTCTTCTATGCAACCACATCTCGATTGCTTCTATTGATCGATGATTTAGAGTCCATATCTTAGTTCCATTTAACAACACCGACCAGACGTAACCTTTGATCATTCTTTGACGCAATTTTAGGTTTAAGTTATCGTTACAAAAGAATGATTTCAATCTCAGAAAAGTTGTGCGAGCTGTTTCATTTCTGCACCGTACATATTATTGCAAAAAGTGAAAAGAATACCAATGGAATGCTCTGATATCAAAGATAGTGAATTCTGTGAGTGTGTAAGAAGTGAACCAGGAGTAAAAGATATTGTACTTTATAGTGATAATAGCAATAGTGGCAAAGAAAATGAGTCCTCCGAAAGTGAGCTAGAAAACATTTTGAATGTACGCAATATAAGACGTGATCGGGTGCTTTCAAGTTCTTAAAGTGATAATGTAATGTTGCTACCTCCATCAAATCAAAAGGCTCTCAAGTTTTGGATAAAAATGGGCCCATACAGGAGCAAAATTGAAATCAATCCTTGGAATATTTTACATCCGGGGAGCATGTGACGCAAAAAATTTGAAACTTTTATATTTGTGGAATACAAAATAGAGACCAAGCTTCTTTTCCAGCACAATGAGTCAAAATAAGTTTGAAGAAATATTGAAATTTATTCGATTTGACACAAATTTGCTCAATAAGTTTATTGAAAATATAAACCTGGTGCAAACATTACAATAATGTGCAACTTTCTCCATTTAATGCCAGATGCGGGTTTACACAATATTTGCCTAATAAACTTAAATTTTGACTGGCTTCTGACGTTCAAACAACGTATGTTGTAAATGGATTTCCTTATTTTGGAAAGAATGAAACACCAACAGCATCGCAACCTCTGGTACTTAAACTTATTGAGCAGTATACTATGAAAGGAACGACCATAACGTTATGACGACTTTTCGAAAAAACTCTTTTCTGAAAAACACCCTGTATCTCTGAAACCGTAAGAGATATCAATATGCAGTTTTCGTCACTAAGTTTCTTATAAAAATCGAGCCTCAGGCAGTGATATCATTTTTCCTCTATCTCTTATAGAAAGAGGAATTTCTCTTTGAAAGTGTCCAATTTGGCCCACCCTGTAGGGTAAAACGCCAGTAATTGACCGTTGGTCAGTGTTTGACCGTTTTTGTAAAAAAAATGTAAAAAATAAGGTTCCAAGAAATATCTAAAAAAAATAAATCTGTCCACAAATAGCCACCAGTCTCTTCTCCACCTCCTACTACGCAAAAAGTCTACGACCATACCGTTCTTGAGTTTTTGTTGTTTAATTTGCACTAACTGCCGGCCTATTTACATCATGCTAAAAATGGTAATTTTTATGTTTAGAAATTCGCCTAAACAAGGTCGTATTATTCAGCCGTTTTTGCATGTATGGTGTTTTTTTTTGTTTGCCAGTGATCTAATAATGTTTTCTATTGGTTGTATTAAAAAATTACCGCTTTAATTAATTATTTGTGAAAATAAAGGCGGTCAAAGACTAGTAGTTCTAAATTTAATTAAAAATTAGTGTTTGACCAAACGGTCAAATACTAGACGAATTGGTTGTGGTATAATCTCACTAGTATTTATATTTGATTAATAAAACGGAAAAATGTGTAATACCTGTTTTTAAAACTTATATCTTCCTGTTTAAATTGTTTAGTATTTGACCAAAACTTTTATACTTTAAAAGTAAGATACAATCAGTTTAAATATGCGGTCAATTACTGATTGTTCTTTTGGTCATTTACAGAACATAAACACGTCAAACACTGAGCTTTTTAACCGATTTTAAATTTTATAAATATTTAAGCCTAATATAAATATAAGTGTAAATATTTGGTTCTTTTCTATTTTTTTAAGCCTTTTTTATAACAATAAAAGTAATTGAACACACTTAAACAGTAATCAATCTGTAAAATTAAAAGGATAAAAGGTTGGTCAAACACTGACTCTTATAGTGGTCAATTATTATCAAAAATGGAAAATCTATATGGAAAATTTAGCAAATATGAATCAGGTTAACTTTTTTCAGTACCAATATGACAACGAAGCCTAAGTTTAAATATAGTGAAGATCTTCAAAAGGCTTTCGATGCAAGAAGTAGGGATTTATCTTATAAAAAAGCAGCAAGATGTTTAATGTACCAAAGTCAACTCTTATTTATAAAGAAAAAGGAAAAACACCAATGCAATTTGAAAATGGACCAGCATTTTTTAATTCTGATGAAGAAATACTACTGGTTGAATGGTTGTTTCATTCAGCAGTCCTGTTACAAAAACCAGTTGGAACACAAAATTTGGGTGAAAAGTTAAGTCAAGAACATTTTGCTCCATTTAAAGAGTAAAATTTTTTTATGAACAAAATAGTATGGAAAAATAATGAAAATGAATATTATATTAAGAATCGGCCAAACACTTACGGTTTTAAGGTCAAAGACTAGATATTATTGGTCAAATAATGTAATCAAAGTGGTCAAACACTGAATGCGAAATACAGTTATCCTTTTTAATTTTTAAAAATATATATTTTATATGTAGGGTAAGTAACTTTAAATGAATCAGATGTGTATTTGATCATATTTTGATCATTTCATGTAAAGGCAGAGGGATCTACAAGAAAAATAATATGACTCGGTCAAACACTGACATTAAAATATCCTTAACAGGTCAAACACTGGTGCGTTTACCCTACATGTTCTTTTATTTTTATTGAATTACACTCTATTAGCTTTATAACGAACTGCTATTATGGTCCTCGTAAAAGAAAAACTTTGAAGACAGAATTTCCAAAAATGGAAACTGCATTCAGGATATGTATTTAAAAAAAGATCTCGTCATTGAACTAATTCATGTTACTGTTATGTGAACATTATGGAAAAGATGAGTTTTGTGCTAGTAGAGGCTGAATGGCGAAATTTAGAAACAGATAACGCCCGAGAAATTTGATGATTACTGGTGTGAAGCTGTCTAACAGTTTTCAAGCAATTACACCGTTTTAAAAAAGTTGGCTCAACATAATAGAAAAGAAAACTAAAGCCCTAATCAAATATACAATACAAACGAGTCTGCTTTATTTCATAAAATCCTTCCAGATAAAACTTTGGTGGGATCTAACGAAAAAATAGTACCAGGGCATAAAACAATTGATCAGAATGCAATCTGCTTAACAATTACAAAACGCCTTAAAAGATAAATTTGTACCATGCCGCATGTGTACCTTCTGCTTCATGTAAAAAATGACATCTTCGTTAATTAAGAAATCTTGGAAAAACTTAGACAGCAAAGAAGAATGGGAAACCGAAGATTTGATGATTGGCCATAGTAAAACAAAACATAATTGCTGCATAATTAAAGTCAACTGCCAAAAACGAAACAAACACAAATTACAGATTTTCTGTAAAATGAATATTCATTACTTTGTTTTATTACTATAAGAAAAAATTTTTAAAAATACATTAAATTATACTTTATTTTATTAATATTTCCGTGAATTTTAATGCATTTTCTTTTATTTCCTGAAATAACAAGAATTCCAGTAATCCGAAATGCCCTTGTTCTAATTTATTCGGATTATTGAGTCATTACTGTATTATATTTTTAAAGACTAGTCATTTTGACGGGTTTTGGTAGAAACAACGTCTCAACTATTGGTAGTTCTAGTGTTAAATACTGTGATTTCTTTTAATTGTTTATTTGATAGGTACTTCGAATGTTATTAATTCAACAAAAAAAGATTCATTTTTACCATTCAAAATCGCATTAAGTATCATTTAACAATACCAGACTTACCCTTTCACATAATATTTACGTATTATAAGAAAAACCGATTATGTACACCGCAAAAATTGTGTGAAATTGCACAAAAACCAATTAATAATGTTTTTGTTCTTATTTTAAAAATAAATTCTATTTTTTAGTATCTACTTACTTAGAATAAAATGTAAAAATAAAAATAATCCATATTCCAAATAAAATTTTCCTAAACTGGATCACATTTCCAAGGTGTGTCTTTTTCCTTCCCATTACCCTTTTTTTCTTTCGCACTTTCCTTTTTCTTAATTTTGACATTAAATAATTAAAAACAAATATATACACAAATCACCACCGCATTTCTTTTAAACCTGTGTAAACTACAAATGAAAGTATATTTCACTTCACTTTGTGAAAAAGAAATTAACTAAAAAATGTTAAATTATCAGTAACAAACCGCTTATCTCAAAACCAGTCCAACTACAATGAAAGTAAGCCTAGATTTTTTATTAAAAAAAAACGATTACTATAAGGATAATTTCGCAGGGAAATAATAAATTTCTCATTGATTAATTATGTTTGTGTTGAAACATCATAAAATAAATAAATTCTTGTAATTAAGATCATATAAAAACGATTACATTTACTGGTCAACAATATATTTATTTTCTTACAAGACAAAATAAAATAATAATAAAAAAACAATCATAATTACGTCTTTGTAACGGATTAATAATAATTAATTAGATGACGATTATGGAATTAATTTTGATCGCGCATCTTATTTGACGCAGTAATTAAATGAATTTTATGTATGAATGTGAACACAACACAAGGATTTTTAAAACCACCTTAAATTCTATTATTTATTTATATCTTATTTTTTTAATTATTAATTTATCTTCTTTCTTCCTTTGGTCAAATTGCATACAGCTGAGTAAACTGATGGGAACTTTTGTATAAAGGCGTATACACCTAAGAGGTACAAAACTATCACACATGTTAATACTAAATCAAATACAGCTGGTTTTACACTACAAACAAATAGAAAGTGTTAATAATTAATTAGAAATTGTGCTGCGAGAGTAGTATTAATTTACCTGTAAACATTCATAACACTTTTGGTAACATCATAAAACATAAAATCGGGGTCTCTTTTATCGGGTGTGGCGTAACTAATTCTTACATCTCGCAGGTACTTTGAAAATGTATCTTTTAAGAAATTTACTACTGCATTGTCTTTTTGGCACAATATTTGGGCTGCTCTTGGTTGAGTACTTAAGTAATCCATCCAAGCATCTATTGAAGACATTTCAACTTTCTAGAAATTTCAATTATCAAACCAATCTAAATAGTTTTCTAAATATGTTCTTACCAAAGATTTTCCAAAAACTTCCCCTAAAGAAACATTATAAATCTGACTAGCTAAAGCTTCAGCAACTATTTCCGTATTTCTTTTCAAACGATCCAAATCGGTATTTTGTTTAGTATCAAGAATTGTTCCTCTTAAAGGATCCTTATGGCTTTTCAATGACGACAAAGTAAACGCCGGTAATCGTCTTATACTAAACCGCTCGTGCTCCCAAGCCAGCAAATCTTCGGCCAAATTAATTTTTTTATGCACCCCTTCCGTTGTTATTTTCGGGTAACGTTCAGAAACTGATTTCATGTTTTTGTAAAATATGGCTGCTGGCGCTCCTTCTTTTGGCGGTTTCGAAACGTGCATGTACAGAGAATCGCCCGCCGCTAATGTGTCTAAACACATCACATAAGCCGCTTCCTGAATAAATTTATAAGCAATAAAAAAATTGGAGATAATGTAAAATGTAAATATATAAACGTTTTACGTTAATGCTTTTCGATTTGTTTGTGTTAAAAATAGTTGGTTAAAATTAATAAGATTTATGTAAGTTATTTACACGCATTTGATTCTGTAATTTATTTTAATAAATAAATCTCACACAATTTCAAGACCGTTTCATTAATATCTATAATATATTAAATCTATAGTATGCGATATTTTTGCAAAATTTTTAGAATAACATTTCATTAATCCTTTATAAATATTAATATAAATACTTATAACATTTTAGATAAGAACAATAAACATGCGAGAAAAGTTCTCCGTAAGTTTCCATAGATATTACGATAGGTCAAAAATAGTTCTATCTAGGTTTATTAGATTTAAAAATTTCACTCATTTATAAATCGTGGTAACTGGTACGAAGAGCAGATCCACTGATGTAAGTACTATATGGTGTTAGAATGATTATAATGGTAGTGAAGAAGATTGAGAGGAGGACCAAGGGTGTGGATAGTGAGATAACTTGCGACTGCGTTAATTGAAAAGGAATATAATGGGGAATAGTAAAAGTAGAAACAATCAGAGGAAAGCGACAAGATTAGCAGGACGTTATAGAGTGGGAAGAGTGCCATAACTAACGTTGAAGGGAAGTATGGAAGACCACTTGCATACTCAAATGGGGAAGGTAGAGCTAGCGGATGAGAAGAGATAAGTGGGAAGAGGTAAAGGTAATGCAGGAAGATGAGAACGAGTTGAGTTCAGTAAGATTCATGTGATACGATTACAGTGTAGGACAAGCGTGTAGGACAGTATAGAGTTAAGAGAACAGCAGGGTTTAAATAACTAGAAACAGAGAGTTGCAGAGATCTAAATGGAGAGGAGAAAATGTATAGGAGAGTGGCTGATTTGAGAAGGACCGTAGCAAACAATGAAAGGGAAGAACAAAAAAAGAGATGGGAAGTGGAAACAGAAAGGAAGTGGAAAATAATACATTGGTGGCGAGGGAAGGGGTGGTAGTTAATGAAGAGCAGGAATGGTAAAAGAGAACTGAGAAGGGACGCTGTATGGATAGAATAGGTCAGTGGCTATGTTACTGGTCGCACCCACGCCCAGGTAAAGGAGGAAAGTTCACTTATCAAGTTGTATACTTGACAAGTGACTGTCCTCGGATACAGGACAGTCTTACGTTAGCACACGGCTAGAAAAAGAAAAAAGTGATACTGGAAGAAGAACTTGCTCCGACTTTGATCATGGAATGTTTAATCATAGAATAAGAAGACCAAAACATTATTATGGAAATGAATAGGAACCGAATATAGGTATTGAGCGGAAAACTGAAAAATGCTTAAACGACGTGAACAGGTTGCAGCAAGATTAGAAGCATCCGATGAACATCCATTTCATTTTATTAGTGTATTATTTTATCACCAGTGTATACGCACTGGTCAGCAAACCAAAGAAAGAAAAAAGAATTTTTACAACCAGCTTCAGGATCTCCAAACAACACCAACTCGTGCTGATGGGAGATTTTCAACGTCAGGATCGGAAATGATGTCATCGACAGAATAAACATCGATACAACAAAGAAGTCGTTAACCAAAGCGGAGAGCTGCTGCTAAATGTATGCGTCTTTTAAAATCTATAAATAAATACCTAATTTTCCAACAAGAGTCAACACAAATCCACCTTCTCAAATAGCAGCGGCAAAGCAACTACTATTGACTACCTAATAACAAACGAACATATTCCCCATCGCGAATAGTCGATGTCAAAGTGTTGTCATCAATACACTTAGGAAATTATACTAGGGAAATTGCGAAATGAAACCATACTAGACCCACAGTATAACAATGTACATTAAAATGACATAACGCTTGAGAAAGTGAAGACAAACATAGCTAAATTAAAAAACAGAATGGCCCCAGACCTAGACGAGGTGACAAACGAACTTAAGTACAGAGAGGAACATTACCCATTCCTCTATACTGGCCAATTACCCAAAGAACGAAATACCAGGATGACCATATCACTTTTCAATAAACGATTATAACTAGCGATCTGTACTAATAATTCAAATATCAGAAAAACAATACGGTTTCAGAAACAACAGATCCACTGAAAATCCAGACATTACTGTTTTTCCATCACAGAAGCACTCGACTACGTGAAATTAAAAGATGTGATTAAAACTCTAAAACAAAAATCAATCGATCCCAACATAATAAGTTATAATAACAAAAACAACAGACAGGTATAGAAGTGACAAACACCTATAGTATAGAAGTAACAACTATATCAAGATCAAATTGAATGGTGAACTAACGAAAGAAATCCAGATTGCATTGGATGTTCTTTAATGAAATAGCCTAAGCCTTGCTTATTTAATTTCATTATGGGCAAAATTATTGAAAATGTTAAAGAAATAATAGGAAGATATACATTAGGAGCTGAGAAGATAAAGATGCTACGCAGATGACGCAGTACTTATCGTCGGCAGTAAAGATAATCTGCAACGCTTGTTTCACAAATTATACCAGACGGCCAACCACTATAACATGGAATTATCAATACTACATTACATTACATTAAATAGAATACATATCGGGTAGGCGGACCAATCAACCTTGCACCGCGACCCTAAGGATCTATTGTACCCCGATAGATATCGTTATCAAATTTCACCGTGAAGTCAAATGCTTTTAACGAACATAGACCCGAATAAGGTATTAACCTTACTCGGTGAAAGGTCATTCAGATCCTTTGAGGAGATAAACTGCGACCCAAAAATCGAGAATCTGGTACGGTTAACAGCAGGGCACTGGCATAAAACATGCTCATCCGTCTCTGCTTCCTCCGCACATAGTCGGCATTCAACATCGTCGGCTAAACCCAACAAGTTTAGGTGTGCTTTTAATGGGCAATGCCCAGTAAAGACACCCATTAGAACTTGTATGCTGCTATGAGCAAATCCTAAAAAGTTCCTGGGTTTGACAGTGGCGATGTTAATTAATTAATACCTTAGCATGTCTCATTCCAGGAGAACTTGTCCACAGTAGGCGAAGTCTTTCTTCAGCCCACAATCCAATCCTATATTTGGCCTATATTAACTGCTGGTTCCGGTCCCACAAACGCTTTAGCGCTGCCCTCTCGTGCTAGCTCATCTGCCGCTTCATTGCCAGCAACCCCAGAGTGACCCGGGACCCAGATCACAGAATATATATCAATACTAAAAACAACATAAATGTTATTTAACTATCTCTGGCAATAGAAATATCATAAACGAAGTATGATATAATCGAATAAAGCAGCAAGGTCAGCTGAGTGCTGACGGGATGTAAGCAATATGGAAAAACAAGCCATAACCATTAAAAGTAAAATACATATTTATAAAACAACAGTACAAAACAAAGAGCAGACATGTTGAGAATGGCTGAGATGAGAACGTTAAGGTCGATAAGCGCGAACGAACAGAAATAGCCGGATAGGATGGGGAAAATGCCTATTAAGACAAAGAAGAGAAAAAGGAAAATTAAAGTCCTATGGCCGATCTAGACTTGAATTAATTATCGTTGTAAGTCTACTGTACTTAGATACTTTTCAGCGTTCTGTCGAATCAGCCAACCTCAGGTTAAACACAACCTAAATGTCTTCCAGTGTACAATAGATCACGAACTCATCGAATTAATGCAGAAATTTTGCATGCTAGAAGAAACAAGACAAACCTTCTTAAGATTATCTTCGAACAACTATTTAAAAACAGGTCTTAAATTCTACAATAAACCTGTCGATGCTATTTTAATGTAGAAGTGGCAGATTGAAATCATTTATCACCAGATCCGCGTTTTCATGATGATTGGCCATTACAATGGATTGTCTTGGAAATCCGTCAGAATACAGCAACTGTGTGCACTATAAGATATTATTTCTAGTGCAAATAACATTGAAGTTCAAAAAATGATCTTTCAGTTACATCGCATTATTATAGCGGACGGTCTCACGACTGTCCTGAATAAAAATTTAGTATACTACAAAGCTTTTGTTGGATTCAGAAACGCTTTGTGTTTATGATGAAAACTTTCTTTTTATGACGATTTTCTATACTGTTGAGAAAGTAAATATATCTGTGTTTAAGGCAGTTATAAGTATAAGTGTAAGGTTTTGAACATATTTCATTGGTTGATCAATTAACAGCAAAAATCTTCATGCAAACGCATTCAGTATATGTTGGATTTCGACTAGGCACTGGTTTATCTCTGAAAAGAAATCTTTCCAAAACCCAGCCAACTTTTTTCTACATCGTCAAAGTTAAAGTATTATTACTTGATTAAACTTTTACATAATGACGTGGTTTAAATTTTTTATATCAGCTCAATCGGACTGTAATTTTCTGGAGGCGAGGTTGTAATAACTTCATTACAAAAACCAATTCAAATCAGCGCTGATTTCGCTATCAAGATCGCTTTGTCCGTTATCTCCTTTAATTAATGGTCAAGATTATCTCTGCGTCTTCGTTTTTCCAAGTTGGATTGGGACGAAAGGCATCATACTTTCAAAAGAGTTATTCATCACTTGATGATAAATATCATCAAGCTACCTTACGTGGATGAATTTAATTAACTCTTAGTCTTCAATTTCACGTCATTTCCGGATCATCGACGGTTAAACCATTAACTTCCAAATAGTTTAACCGCCGATTATTCGACTTCTGGATTTCTAGCAGCAGGTGGAATGTTCGAGTAGAAGAGAAATAAGCATAAGAAGTTTTTACAACGATTGCGGTACAAACTTTGTATAAAATATTGGAGTTGACAAAGTGCTCCGTTCTATATTTTCTGCAGCTTCAAAATAATAGACGGAAATAGTACACAAAATAAACGACGTTTTCACTTACAACATTTTGAAATATATGTATAAAGTGTTCAATATCATACTTATACAAATTGAGGTTGTGTTGAAGACATGTCAAGAATAAAATTAAAATTTACTAAAAACTTCGACCAAAGTTCGACCAAAATTTAACTTAAAGAAATTTTTTAATTTTTACTAGTTGAATAATAAATGTTTCTAGCTTTAATTATTTCATGGTATTTCATCAATATCTGAAATATTTGAGTAGGTATCATAATTAGTTTGACATATTTAATTAAACATAAAATAAACAATTCAATAAGCGTAAAGTATGAATTTAGTAATAACTTTCTTTGTACAAGCATTTCAGTCTGGTTGAGGAGATCTGAGAACGAACTTTGAAGCTAAAAGATGTTGGAAAATGTCCCAAATTTATTGAAAAAGTTATGGTATCCTTACTAATTGATTTATTATAAAAAATTCTTCATTGTTAAATGGCTTTTTCAATTTTTAACAATTTCTAAAATTCTTGTCGTTAAAATACCTATTTTTTTTCAAATCCCCTGTAATTTTCCACATTATTGACCATTCTGTATACTTCTTTAATATTGACAATTAAATAACCAAATGAATACTAATTTAAAAATATATCTCTAGTGGCTGTTATTTATTTGATTTAAAAATAGTTGCGTAAGTTTTATGGGATTTATCTAAGCAATTTACACATAATAATTTATCAGTTTAAGTAAATATTACTAACCGTAAAAGATTAAGGATTATATATTGTACCCTATTAATACTTACTTGAATAATTGTACCATCTAAACTATCTAGTTGATCTTCCAACCATTTTTTACTCCCTTGGTAATTTAATTTACCACCTCCAGTTAATAAAAATACAATATTGTACTTCCCTCTTGTTCTTGGATCTGAATACAAAGTGGAAAATAATCGTACAAGTTCTAATAACATTGAAACACCAGATGCATTTGAATCAGCACCAAAAGATAACTCCTAAATAAATAAAAAATAAATTTCTTTATAATCAAAAATTAAATCAAAAAGATTACCGGGGCTACTCCAAAACTATCATAATGAGCTACAACAGCTATTGTTGGTGTTTTTCCATCATTACTCTGTCCAACTAAAAAACCTTGAATTGTAGCAATTTTTATGTCAGTTTTTTGATTTGGTGATTTTGGATTTATGATGACTTGATAACCATTAGCAGAAATTGATGTTACCATTGATTCAAAAGCTGACTTAGTTTTATCATCAGTAGCCAAACTCTGAGAGATTTCTTCCACTATTAATGATAAATCTGGTGTTGCAGTTGAAAAATAAACTGGTATCGAAATCTCTTGAGCTAACATTGCATCTTCTAATATCAAAAGATGCTACAACATTTTAATCAACACATTAGGTGATGCACAAATGATTTTTCTAAGCTTACTTCTTTTTCTTCTGGTGTTAACAACAATAAATTATTAGGAATAACAACCAATAAAGCCCCAGCTTTTGTTCGAATATGCCTAAAGTGATCCACAGTTAAATCTTGTAATTTTACAACCACACAATGCCTTGAAGTGGTCCATCCAGTTAAAGATCGTGCTTCTAAACTTACAGCAGCACTTCGGCAACCTAAAACCAACAAGATTTCATTACTAACCTATTTTTAAAAAGCCAAAAAATCACCTTAACTTATTTAAATCAATATTTAATTAAATATTCTTAATACTCACCATGTGATACTCCGTGCAGGTCAAAATGTTGCATTCTATAAACGGGAAATTCATGGGAAGCTATTACCGGGCTTGCTGGGGCCACTAAAATGAAAATCGGTAGGAATACTAAGACGTAATAGGGTAAGTACCCTTTAAAAATTTCTTCCGCCTCCTCCAACCACATTTTAATTCAATTTCGAATGAATTTTCACCGTGAAAAACGTTTGTTAACTTCGTTTTTGACGTATCACCTAATTATGAGCGGCCGCATGGATTTTCGTGAATAGGCAACCTATTATTCAAAATTGTAGCTTGGGTTGTCTATCTTAAATCTTCGTTACATTTTAAAATGTAGGTTTGATTAAAAAAGTATTTATTTTAAAAGTATGGAATAAAGTACACGGGATAGTTTCAATCTTTCACAAATGTTTCGCATTTTAAATTCATATGACACATAATCAATACTAAACATTTTCAATCAATATCGATTTTTAAATAAATAGAAACAATTGTACTTAGTGATAATATTATTTATTCGATCTTTACCGGTTTCGGCTCTCATTAAAGAGCCTTCCTCAGAAGATATCTCGTCAGTATGGAAAATAATTAAATGGTAATTGATAAAATCTTGATAAAATTTGCATATGTCAGCAGATTAAAATTTCTTGTATAATAAACGTCACAGAAATTACGATCACCTGCTGACATATGCAAATTTTATCAAGATTTTATCAATTACCATTTAATTATTTTCCATACTGACGAGATATCTGCTGAGGATGGCTCTTTAATGTGAGCCGAAACCGGTAAAGATCGAATAAATAATATTATCACTAAGTACAATTGTTTCTATTTATTTAAATATTAATAAGTGATAAAAATGGATAACATTTACTCAATATCGATTTTAGCAAATGATCGATTTCCTCTTGAAGTATTATGCCCCAAGCAATCTGTTATTCATTCTGCACAACTTGCAATGTATGCGGAATTTACACCAAGTTTCTCAGACTCTTCCCCATAATGTCTTAAACCTGCTCATTAGTCGAATGATCAGGGGATTGGTGTGATCACAGTAAGAGATTAACGTCTCCTCTGCAAATCAATTCATAGAACGTCTTGCAATATAGAGACGAGCGTTATTTGTGGGGAAACAGGGTCTTTCAACTGATTAACTTGTCTTTAAATTTGCTTATTATCCGAATTATCAGGGAATCGGTGTGATCACGATAAGAGATTAACGTCTCCTCTGCAAATCAATTCATAGAACGACTTGCCATATATTGACGAACGTTATTTGTGAGGAAACTGAGTCTTCCAACTGATCAATAAATAGAAGAATATGGTGTTCTAACTCCAACCTTTACGCTGCGACATTTCTCACATCTTCGTCTGAACTTCATGTCGCCATCATCTTCCCCAATCAGAATCGTGATTCATCACCTTAAACTTTGCTGTCAGTGTTGAACGGAAGACCGTCTACAAAACCAATATTAGCAATTGGTCGATTTCCCCTTGAAGTATTATGTTCCAAGCAATCTGTTATTCATTCTGCACAAATTATAATCTATGCAGAATTTACACAAAATTTCACAGACTCTTCCCAATAATGTCTTAAACTTGCTCATTAGTCGAATGATCAGGGGATCAGTGTGATTACGGTAAGAGATTAACGTATCCTCTACAAATCAATTCATAGAACGTCTTACAATATAGAGACGAATGTTATTTGTTGGGAAACTGGGTCTTCCAACTGATGAATAAATAGAAGATTTTGGTGTTCTACCTCCAAACTTTACGCTGCGACATTTCCTACATCTTCGTCTGAACTTCATATTGCCATTATCTTCCCCAATCAGAATCGAGATTCATCACCTTAAATTTTGATGTCAGTGTTGAACGGAAAACCATCTACAAAACGAATTTTAGCATATGCTTGATTTCCTCTTGAAGTATTCTGTCCCAAGTAATCTGTTATTCATTCTGCACAACTTGCAATGTACGTGGAATTTACACCATGTTTCTCAGACTCTTCCCCATAATGTCTTAAACGTGCTCATTAGCCGAATGATCGGGGGATCAGTGTGATTACGGTAAGAGATTGACGTATCCTCTGCAAATCAGTTCATAGAACGTCTTGCAATATAGAGACGAACGTTATTTGTGGGAAACTAAGTCTTTCAACTGATCAATAAATAGAAGAATATGGTGTTCTACCTCCAACCTTTACGCTGCGACATTTCTGACATCTTCGTCTGAACTTCATATTGCCGTCATCTTCCCCAATCAGAATCAAAATTCGTCACCTTAAACTTTGATGTCAGTGTTGAACGAAAAACCATCTACAAAACAAATTTTAGCATATGCTTGGTTTCCTCTTGAAGTACTCTGTCCCAAGCAATCTGTTATTCATTCTGCACAACTTGCAATGTACGTGGAATTTACACCAAGTTTCTCAGACTCTTCCCCATAATGTCTTAAACGTGCTCATTAGCCGAATGATCGGGGGATCAGTGTGATTACGGTAAGGGATTGACGTATCCTCTGCAAATCAGTTCATAGAACGTCTTGCAATATAGAGACGAACGTTATTTGTGAGGGAACTGAGTCTTCCAACTGATGAATAAATAGAAGAATAAGGTGTTCTACCTCCAACCTTTACGCTGCGACATTTCTCACATCTTCGTCTGAACTTCATATTGCCATCATCTTCCCCAATCATAATCAAGATTCATCACGTTAAACTTTGATGTCAGTATTGAACGCAAGACTATCACAAAACCGATTTTATGGTCGATTATCATATTGGATAGTATTTGCCTTACAATACCTTACCTCGGTTCTAGTCGAAATGAGAAAAGTATCAATCAATCTGGACATCGTTTGTCTGATGCTGTTAAGATCGCAAGAATTTCCAGAATAGAAAAACTGGCGACTCAGTAAGATTTCTTCGAAGAAGAAGGAGGAATACTCTATGAATCAACAATGCTATGAACGCTTGCTTCAACTTTAGACTGAACGTTTGAGACAAGTTAAGTCCGGAAATTGGTGTGACAAATGTTGTAAACAGTTTGGTACAAACTTTGCTCCAGTTTTAACAATTTTGATTTTTCCTTAATTGTAGCTTTTCGGACGACAAAAAAATTTAATTAAATTTTCAAAGAGCTCCCAAAGAAAGCAATAGTAAGTTTTAGACTTATCTTATTATCGCTACATTTAGATTAATATATGTTCCTATGATGTGGTAAATGGCGGAAGTAACAATGATTCCTAAACCAGTAAAGCCACCTGAGGAAGTGTCGTCATACAGGCCGATTTCCTTGTTGCCCGTAATTTCAAAATTATTTGATAAGCTATTTCTTAAAAGATTAAAACCGATAATAGAGGAAAAGAACCTAATCCCTTCGCACCCGTTCAGGTTCAGAGAAAGCCACTCTACAATAGATTAGATAAACAGATTACAAATATTATTGAAAAGTCTTTAGAGGGAAAGGAAGTTTGCTCTGCAATATTCCTAGATGTGGCCCAAGCTTTTGATAAAGTCTGACACAAAGGCTTACTTCATAAATTGAATAAAATCTTGCCACAACAACACTCTTAATTGATAAAATCATATCTTAAGTCGGCTCTACACGATGTTATAGGAAGATATTTTGAAATAAAGCAGGAGACCTATTCTAGCTTAAGAGAAGCACTGGAGTGCCACAAGGTAGTGTGATCGGCCCAGTACTCTACTTGTTATAAACTAGTAGTATTCCTGATCTTGAACAGAACACCATTGCAATGTTTGCAGATTATACAGCTATCATGGCAATAGGAAAAAATCATGAAAAAGTTGCTGACATGTTAAAATTAGTGTAGTTCAATTATCAAAACCTTAGTTGAGTTTGAACCCGTAGTAATTTAGGATAGAATCAAATTATTCACCAATCAATTGTGATCAGATTATGTTTGTAATAAAAACAAATTAAATTTTGAAAATGTTATTGATTAATTTTATATGTTCACACTATTTCTAACACATTACAAAATCTGCATATTATAAAAAAAAACATGAACAATAAGGTGAATAGGTTAAAACTTTTGTTACATTAATTTTTTATTTATAGCTTATTATAGCTTATTTATAATTTTTTATAGCACAATGATCTTGATTTGCTACGGTAAAACTTTAAATGCGATTTCCTGAAAACTATGTTGTTAAGATTAGTTGAATCATGTTACCACTTTGCACTCATTTTCGGGGGATGTCTGTCTATAACCTGAACTAGAATTGTATTAAAATTCTCACATTTGTAAAAGTTTCTTTCCGAACGAGAACATGGTACAAAATGCAATTTAAATATCAAGTGATTGCAATTTTAAAACTTTTTTCATATTTTTAAAATAATGAACTTAATTGTAGTTCAGACTGTAGTTCTAAACCTAAGATTTAATAATCTATTCGATTGTATTGTTTCAAATAAGAAAAAGCTTATAACGATGTTCTTTGATTACATACTTTCTAAAAAAAACAACTTAGGAATTTAAATAATATAAAAATTCTTAAAAAAGTTCTTGTGACAAATTAAAAGTTAATTATTCTAGATCAGTGTAATAGGTCTATGCATGTACTAACGAGTGCTAAGGTCATCAGATTGTATTTAACCTGCACATCTCAAGATCACGGTGAGACCTTTCATTTCGGACGTTTCGGAAGTTTTTGTAGATTAGGCAATTATTTTTTTAGTTAATTTTCCTGAAACATCGATAAATCTTCACTTACAATTAGTCATAGACATAATTTGATGGTGTAAATGAGTCGTAAATAGCTATGAAACTTGGTGTAATTGAGTTTATTTCTGTAGGAGCAACGACTTACAGATTACTCTATGCAATTTAAACAGCTTTTTATCTTGATAAAAGCATTGAAGGCTAATTGTGTGCACTTGAAACCGTACAAGCAAAGTACTGTAAAGAGTGATGGGTGTATTAACCGTTAAAAATAGTAATTTAATTTGCTAATAAAACTTTATTATACATTTTATAAAGCTTATAAAAAATCTTTGGTACATCAAAAGTCTTAAATACAATACTTTTAACTACGTTTGTTCTTCTTTTTTAAAACATACGAAAATCCTTCTTTGAAAAAATTTACTTAAAGTAGGTAAAAACACCATACAAACTAATGTTCTTAAAGGTACAGAACTATAATGAAGCATCGCTAAAAGTATAGCTTCGTATTCGCTGATATAAAAGTTATGTAAAGGAGGAATTTTAAAAGATTCGACGTCATTAATTGTTTTATTTTTAGCTAAAGTATGCATAACGTACGGTACATTTCTTGGTAAAAAAGTTAAGAAACACGTCAATGTTAACATAATACATAAAATAATTAATCGTTGCGTTGACAAAACATTCTTAGCGTTACTTAAAGAACTAGCCGTTTTACTTTTGTATAATTTAAAAATTAACAACAAAAACGACAAAGTTAATAATCCCAAAGGTATAATGGCTTTAAAACTTAATAAAAGATGTTGTAAAAGATCACCGTATTGAGTATTAATAACCGTACAAAGAGTAACATTAAAACCATCTAATTTAACTTTTAAAGTCGTCGCTAATGTATATTGAGGTACGCTCAAAGATAAGCAAACAGACCAAATTAACAAACACGGGAATATAATCGAAACGTCGGTTTTCTTTCTTCGGTAATCAATCGTCAAGTTCCTGCTTGTTGTTGGAGTCTCGTTCTTTTTTACTAAACATTCATTCGAGTCATCTCCATTACAAGATGTCAAAGGATTTTTTCCTTGAGAGGCTTCGTGAAAATGAAGATTCCAAATTGAGATCACGTGGAAGTTTAAACAGATTATTAAGTAGATAGAAAGGGAATTTATTAAGATTTCTCCTCCGAGGAAAGGTGGACAAAAATTTGAAGGGAATATCCAGGTTTCTGAATGGAGAAGGAGAATTTCTGGAACGAGAAGAATTATGGTTAAAATATCGACGAAAAGAAGTTGGATTATGATTAGGATTATACCTGAAAAAAAAAATAATAGAAAATTATTAGAAATTTAATTTATTAAAGTAATTATGGTGTATTAATTTTTTGTTTTTTAATCAAAATATTTTAATTTAATTACTGAAAATTCATAGCGATATGATAATTTTTTCAGCTCACTTAGTTAATAAGATTAAAGTCATTACATTAAATATTACATCTTGCTAACATTAATTTTAAGAATTTAGTTCTAGATGCATGATTCGATTGTCAGATTGAGTTAGAATATGTGATTAACAAAAAATAGGTGGTTATTAACAAATCCCTTTATATCTGCTTCGATGATGTAACAAAGACTTTCGATTGAAATAGACGAGCACATAATCGGTAATATTCCGACACCAACAATTAGTCAAGGAACAACTTAAGCCTATTCCTGTTTAAACTAATAATGGACTAAATTATAAATTGTGTCTAAACATAGAGCGATAAATGCATTTCAGCAAGATTGGACATACCAAAAAATGTTTGCGCGAAAGTACTACTTTGGACATACCTAGGTACTGTTTTAGTTGAATTTGGGCTATAGAATTAGTAAGGACAAAGAACAAAGGTTGGATACAACTATGTGATGATCGAAAATAAAGAATGGATCTAAAATGGGAAGATTAAGATATTTGAAAGGGAGAAGAGAAAAATCTGCTAGAAGTAACCAACACACCGAAAGCAAAACAATTACCGACGACTCTGGTAATGAGATAGGTCTACGAACAAGAACAAATAAGATATGGGTTAAGTAGAAAAGGAAATGGTAAAGGGAAGAATGGAAGCTAGACATAAAAAAGTTGAACTGATAAAGAAGTTTCCACAGAAAAAATTGGATATGTTGGGAATAACAGAGACAAAAAGGAGAGAGAAAGGGAATACAGAAGTAACTGGAGGACATATTATGATAAATTGTAGGGTGGACGAAAACGAAAAGGCAGTAGAGATCGATTGTCTGAAAGAATTCACACTACGACTATGAAAAATAAAGAAGGAAAAGCTCGGACTATGGTGGTAGTATACGCGCCAAATAGAGATAACAGAAAAAAAGTGAAGGATAGACTTTGGGATTAACTTAACTTATTAAAAGACCAAAATTTATGTATTTAACTTTATTCTTTGGAATTAAACGTCATCAAAGATACTGACAAAACATGATATGATGAACATCATCATATCCTGAAGTTTTCTGCCTGATTTGCAGAAATGTATAACTTATTGAAAACTTTTGAAGTGATAGGTTATCATTTCAAAGTCTGTAAAGTGTCTTTTCTTGGTTGAGAGTCTTTTCTAGGTAATTATAACTAATCTACTAAATCATAATTTGCAATGTGGGATTTTTTTTAGTTTTATACTCTCTAATGGAATTTGTGCGTAGTCTGTTTGGCGCCGATAGTCTCTAGATAATCTTAGAAAAACGATTAAGAGCCTAGATACAGTACAGACTTGAAGAAGAGAAAACAGCAGACAGAAATAAGGATATATAGCTAATCTTCCTGGATCTAACAGTACCTTTCGAGCAGATAACAACATACATAGAATGTTGCAACAAGAACAGCTAAACTGAATCGAAAGTCGTCGGATGACTTTAGATTGGAAAAGGCAATTACAGTCTAGGTCCACTACCGTTCATAAGCCACATGGATACAATAAGAAAACAAGTCAAATAAAACCGAAGAGTTTAAGAGATTATAACACAAAGTAAATACTACAAAAAAACTTTCAAATATGGAAAACCTTACATTAAAGAAGAAAAAATACGTGGAGAAAATGTAGTACGGCGATAGTATCTCCCAATTAGAGTCGAAAAATACTGGAATCTGCAAGTGGTCCAACCATCTTCAAAGCTGCGCTAATATTACATCATAAAGCCTCGTTATTATTAAAGGCGAAAACGGGGTTGTGAAGCTCAGCAAGGAATAATTTTCATTGGCGAGGTCCAGTTAATGCAATTAAGATCAGATTTTAAATAATAGAGGACGTAATGTTAAGCATAGTCAGGATGGTTAATCTTCCAAGCTTATCAAACATCGAAATCTATATTTTTATATTTTAATGCATCAAAATCGCCATTTAATATCGTCATTGGTGACTCCGAATGGCTGAAACAGGAATGTAGGAAAAAAATCTGCTTCCTCTTTAATAGTATAAAGTTCCGTGTGAAAAGATTAAGGGATAAATGATGATATGGTGATTATAGGAGGAAAAGTGAGTTGTAAACGTAGAATGATAAATAGAAACTGAGCATCGTGAATTTTAAGTTCAAAGTTAGCGAACTCAGTGCTTTCAGCAGCACTGTTTTTTAGTAATAAAATATAGCTCGAATGTCAGAGTAACCCGTCGAGTGCCACGTCAAGTACTGCACTACGGATGTGCCACCTGATGGACGTAACTTAATAACCTCAAAAGAGCTAATCAAATCGTTAAGGACCATTAAATACGCTAGACTCTAAACAGCTGGAAAGGAACAGTAATCGACATGCCCTTACTCGCGTGTAAGTCGCACTACATATCAATTGAATACGTCTTTTTATAAAGAAAAAACTTAACCCAGCAAGCTTAACCACTTTACATACAAATAAAACGGAACTAGATGTTTTGGCTTAACTAAACAATGAAACTTAACTAAACTGATATAGAAGCTGAGATAGAATACATTCAAGAGTTCTAGAGGACATTTAAAATTGTATTGAATTTTGAATTTTTTATATAATTTAATTAGGTTGATACATAATGCTAGTGAAGAACAAGTAAATAACATTTACAATTAATAATTTAATAGTTGTGTAAAGATTGAAATATTTTGAAACATTTTCAATATGTAAAGGAACTAGACATTTTTATGTTGTCAAGTTGTTTTTACTTTTTATATTATTTTTTTCTGTTTATGTTGAGGAACAATGTGCCTAATAGTTGACCTGTAGTCAAGCTAGGCATTCGTTTTAAACATGCCAGAAAACTGGGAAGACACAAATTGCACACCATATCTTCTACAATATTCAAACAAAAATTTACAATCGATGGTAAATTTTGTTGAATTCGGCTTAGAATATAAGAAGATATAAATAAGCATTACAGATAGCTATGTGATTCATATAAAAGAACATTTTACAAAAAATTGGTCTTGCCTTTCAACATCTACGGTTGTACTCTGCTACTTTGTTGGGTTTTAAAACACTTTTTTGCTCACTTCGTATCAATCACTGTTGTGGTTGAATGTTTACTACTCATTGTGTATCCATCTTTTTTAACGCAGCAATATAGGTCTATTTTAGATTTTTACCTAACACGTTATAATGACAACAAAAGATACGTCAAGGCACTACTATTTGTTTCTGGAAACTACTCTTTGCTTATTTTCATGTTGTATACCATGTTCATTTGTCTTTCTGACTAGCATTTCAAAAAAGTCGTCAAATAAAATTTGTTTGAAAACATACTACGCACACTAGAACTTGAACCATCACTTGAATAATGAATGGTATGAACACTTTGATGACGGTGTCAATATTATTATTGTTACTAGAATAGCTTATGGTAATGGTAAATCATTGTCATGTCCATATAATACTACCAACCTATACCTGATACAGGTTTTTTTTAAATCTTTACTAAACTTAAATATTGTCTAGTGTGACATTACCCGTGAGAAATCCCTGCTAGAAACTACTTGAATACTACTATCAATGTAATTTTTCTGATATGTCGACGCTTTCTTGTTATTGGAAGTGTTGAAAAAGTTGGGCATAAACTACCGAACTATACGAACAAACGAGAATCAATTAGCGAAAGGGAAGCAACTATATAATCTAATTACATACTGCACGGCGATCGCTGAAAACAGCTTTTGGCGAATCAGACTAGACAACTCGTTATTGTATAGCCTGATAGGCTGTCCTAACGAGCTTCCGGTAGAGCTGTTTTCTTCGATTTGATATGAGTAGAATATCAAATCGGTTAACTAACTAAAAGTTCTTGAACAGTCCCGGGTTGTCATCATGTTAATATATTGCTAATCGGCTTCAGCAATAACAGCTCAGTCTTCTTTATTGATTGGTAACTGAGTATTTCGTATAGTTACAGGTCTCATTAAGAGAGACTTATCTTGTAGTGTCAAACATCTTTATACTATGAAGCATGTTGATTTCGCAGACGGCAAAACACATCTTATGTGGTTGTCTATCTTAGACTACAGATGGCATCCGAGACACATCTGTGAAAGATATTCTAATCTTTACAAAATCTCTGGGCTGGATGATGCAGGAAAATGCAGTAGTGTATGGTAATGCATACACTTTTAAATCCTACAGACATACTTATGTAACCGTGATAACCCTCACTAAAACTTCTTTTATATCATGGTCATTGCCAAAAATACTTTTCACAGGGAGAACAACTTTGTAACAATTTTGTACTAAATATTATTCTTACTATTTATGCATTTTTTCAAATTTACAACCCTGTTTCTAAGTGATTTCAAACTTCTATTCGAAATTATATTTGCATATGTCATACTGTAAGCAAATCTATTGAAAGCGTACTCAGCTTTCAATAGTATTATTTCACATGAAACATTATAAATTCTGACATTAAATTAAAACTATTTTAGAAATCATAATTTTTTTATTTTAATTCAAATACGAGATCAAATTATAACAACAAAATTATTAGAAAACTGTAAATAAATAACTCTCGATTTCTTTATTATCCTCCTGTTGCTACTGGTTTTGTTAGAAGTTCTATGTTTACCAATTGATGTGGTTCGGGATTCTGCAAACAATGCAATCGAATGACCTCTTGTACTCTTGAAAGTCCACGCGAAATCCTCTTGCAAGTCTTGTCAGTTAGATCGAAAAATCTTGCAAATTTGTTGTTACCTAGTCGTTTCCGCGTTTCATGCATGCCATTCAAAAACTTTTTCTGTGCCTCTTCATAAGATGTCATCACATTTAACAAAAGAGTTAAATCAGCCATTTCAGTGTTGTTCATTTCAG